CAGCAAGCAAGGTTGTGTCATCTGTATATCACAGGTTGTTAATGAGTCTTCCTCAAATCCTAAGGCTGTGTTCTTCTTCATATAGTCTAGCTTTTCATATAGTCCAGTTTTAAGTCCACAAATTTAGGGACTTAAAACAACAACAATGTATTATCTTATACTTCTGGAGGTTAGAAGTCCTAAAATCGAGGTGTGGACAGGGCTGATTCCTTGTGGAGGTCCCAGGGGAGAACCCATGCCATTTCAAGAGTCTAGAGACCTCTTGCATTCTTTGGCTCTGGACCCTTCCTCCATCTTCAGAGCCAACATTGCAGCCTCCTCAAATCTTTTTCTCTGTTTTTGTTTCTCTCTCTCACCTTTTTTTCTATACTTACATCTCCTCCCTGACTTTGCCCTTCTTGCCTTCCTCTTACAAGAACCCTTTTTCTTTACATTGGGTTCACCCAAATAACCCAGGATGATCTCCCTTTCTCAATATGCTTAATTTAATCACATTGCAAAGTCCCTTTTGTTGTGTAAGGTAACATACACACATGTTCTGGGGATTAGGTCATGGACATCTCTGGGGGGATCATTATTCTGCCTACCACAGTCTCTAAGCTATGTTTGAGAGGCAAATGACCCATCCTTCTTCTCTACACCAGATTAATAATGGATTTTTATTAATAAAATATTTATTTATAATTTGTTTACACGTACCTCCATAATAATACATTATGCCCCTTTTTAAGTTTGTCCCTCCCAAACATGTTTTTAAACGATGGTATTTAAAAAATATAAATAGAATTTCTCATTTTCCCCACATCCCGTGGATGGCCTTGCACACTCCTGGTGAGCACTGAGCCCTGTTTAGAGACCACTGTTCTGAACTATCTTTTTTTCTAGATTCAATGCAAGTCTCTGTCTTGAACATTCTCCTTGCAGTCCAGTCAATCAAAACCAAACCAGTTGCTGATGGGTTGATTCTGACTCATGGTGACTCCATGTGGTTCGGAGTAGGACTGTGCTCCATAGGGTTTCAGTGGCTGAATTTTTTTCTTTTTGAAAGTAGATTGTCAGTCCTTTCTTCCGAGGTGCTTTTGGGTGAGCTTGAACCTTGTCTTTTGGTTAGCATCAGGCGTGTTAACAGTTTGCACCATCCAGGAATGCCAGCAGTCCAGTAGGACAAGAAATGTACATGGTACAGTTGTGCTTAAGATGCAGTATAATGAGAGCAGTCAGAACACAGGTTTTGATGTCAATCAGGCTGAAATCTCAGAGCTACCAGTTACAAACTGCCCAACACTGATCACAGTGCTTAAACCCTTGGGCCTCAGTTTTCTCAGTGACAATATGAGATAATGTCTACCTCACAGGTTGCTTGTGAGGATTAAATGAAATAGGCTGAGTATATAGAAAAAGTTCATGTTAATAATATGACATTAGATTAATTCCCTTTTGAGTCTAATGCTAGACCTTTCGACTAGACTTGGTCTTCTTACTTGTGCTCAGTACCCGTTTCCTGCCTCTTTCTAAGGTTGATCGCTCCCATCAAAGGCCACTTTCCTCCTTTCAAGTTGTGCTGTTGTTATTTGCGGTCAAGTCGATTGCAACTCATGGACATCCATGCGTGTCAGAGTAGAACTGTGCTCCATACAGTTTTCAAGGCTGTGAACTTTTGGAAGCAGATCGCCAGGCCTGTCTTCTGAGGTGCCTCTGAGGGGGTTCGAACCACCAATCTTTTGGCTAGTAGTTGCACACTTAACCTTGCAAAATTGCTTTACTTGAAAGTTTTGAGAGGCCCCTGCCTTTGCCCAGATGTACTTGTGCCAGAACTCAGGACCTTGAGAATCTAAGGTCCAGGGAGCACAGAGGACTCCAAAACCAGAAGTCTTGGCTTGTCACCCCTAGCCCCAGTCCCTCCCTGTTGGCATTGCTGCTTTTCACAATGAAGAGTGATCACCATCATCTTGTGTTTCCTGTTGCTGTTTTCTTCACGACACTGTAGCCTTCAGAGTGCTTTCCATTCGGGCTTTTGGCATTTTTGGAACAAGAGGAAGGAAAAGGCGCTGTTTGTGTTAGCAAAATGTCTCTCCCATTAGACAATTCCAATTTAAAATACAGATTAGCTCTGTAAAGGTGACCCAGGCTGACTTTTCTCTTTGATGTTTTCAATTTCAGACTTATCCATCACAAATGATTATAATAAGACAGGATTTTGACAGAACAAGGGTAGGAGTTTTGAATTCTTACCTGCAATTTCCAGCTCTAGGGGATAATAGAGAGAAAACAACCACAATAACCTGGTTGTAGGATATGAAAACGTGCTGAATTTTCCCCTTAGAGTTGTATGCTCCTAGGCATTCAACAAGTCACTTTTCCTAATGGACAAATAATCTCTTTTCTACAAAATTACGAGCCTTACAAAATCTGTCAGAGTCTTCTTTTGCCCTTGAGTGCGAGGAAGCTTAATGATTAGTTACAGTAATTATTATTCTAGGTATTTGTTATATTCAGCCCCTCTATATATATGGTTTTTATGCTCTGTTTCTATTTTAATGTTTTATTGTACATATGACTTAGTAAGCAACTTTTTTTTTTTTCTGTACAGTTTTTTTCCTGCCTTGGATTCTGTGATACTGCTCTCACTTCTGATCTCTCTGACAGTTTCTTCTGCCTCTTTCTCCTCTGCCTCCTCTGCCTAATTTTTTAGTGCTGGTATTTCCAGGATTTTGCTCTTCTGTCTGCATAGCGGTTAAGAACTCAGCTGCTAACCAAAAGGTCAGCAGTTCAAATCCACCAGCCGCCCCTTGGAAACCGTACGGGACAGTTCTACTCTGTCCTGTGGGGTCACTGTGAGTTGGAATCGATTCGACAGCACTGGGTTTGGTTTTTTTTTTTTTTGGATTCTGTTGACTTCCAAATCAGTACCTCCAGCTCTGGCTGTTTTCTGAGTTTGATTCAGATTTAAATATATCAGCTACTTGTTAGGCGAACAGTGTTTGCATGTGTCCCACAGGAGCCTTAAACTTCATGCATCTAAATCAGAGCTCATCACCTTTCTCCCCGAGACTTACACTCCTGCTCTGCTTCCTGGCTGCAACCTCAGGGGATGGTTCAGGCAAAGGCCCAGTGTGGCAGGCGGAAACCTGGGAGTTATCTAAGAAGCTTCTTTCTTTCCCCGACAGTCACTGTCCTTATCCCACTGATCTTCCTCCTAAGAACTTCAGAAATCTCACTTTATTTCTACTAGCTCTGAATTCCAGGTCTGGAATCAGATGATATCTGTCATCCTAGCTGCTCCCTTCTCCTCCTAACTGGATCATATAATGCTTAAAATGTTTCCGTAGTTCTCACAGAATCAAACGGAGACTTTACCAGCCAGAAACACAACGCTCTCTGGGTTCTCATCCACCTCCTCATTTTCTTTCCTACCACTGGCCACCCCTCATTTTACACCTGAAGAGCTGCTTGCCATTAGCCATGGGCACCAAACTTTCCTGCTTCCATAGTTTTGGTAATGCTATTCTGTCTACCTGGAATGCCCTTTCCACCTCTCTTTGCCTAATTCTTACACAACCTTAACTCAACCCAGTTGTTATTCATTTAACAGGTATCTATCGAGCACCAAGCATGTGCCAAAGACCCCTGGCAGCACAATGGTTGAACACTTGGCTGCTTACCAAAAGGTTGGCAGTTTGAATCCACCCAGTGGCTCCATGGGAGAAAGATCTGGAGATGGGCTCCCGTAAAGATTACAACCTAGAAAACCCTATGGGGCAGTTCTGTTCTGTCACACGGGATTGTTAGGAGTTGAGATCAAATCAACGGCCCCTAACAACAACAAGAAGTGTATGCCAGGCAGTGTTGGGGTCCCCGTGTGGAGCAAACAGATAATGGACTTTGTCCTCAAGGAGCTTAATTCTAATGAAGCTTTCATTGAACTTGGTCTAAGTGCGTCTCTCCTGTGCAACCCCCCCGCTCCCTGCCCCCCAACCCCCACAGTCTGTGCATGCGCTATCAATACACTGGACTGGTTGGGCTGAAATCTTTTTTTGTTCTCCCTGTCCTATTGTAAATTTCTTGAGGGAAGGGGCCATGCCATATTCATCTCAGTGTTCTCCGTGCCCAGAACAGTGCTTGCAGCAGCAGCAACAGCAGTTGCTGTGAAGCCAATTCTGACTCCTTGGGACCCCGTGTGTGTCAGGATAGAACTGTAATCCATAGGGTTTTCAATGGCTGGTTTTTAACAAGTCAATCACCAGGCCTTTCTTCCGAGGCACCTCTGGGTGAACTTGAACCTCCAACCGTTTGGTTAACAGACAAGTGTGTTAACTGTTTGCACCACCACCAGTGCTTAGCACTTCGTAGATTCTCAGAGCGACTCCCTTGTTGAATTCAACTATTGGTTATGAATATGTGACTCCATGGTGCAGCTTCATCTTCACATTCTCAAGGAAGCTTTCCTTGACCTTCCAGAACAGGTCAGACACCCTCATTAGATGCCCCTAGAACATTCTGCACTATTTCTTCCCACCATTTTGCACAATTTTAATGTATTATTTTTCCAACTATTTGAATTATTTCTTTAAATTTGATTTTCTCCACTAAATTATAAATCATATGAGGTTCATGGTACAGCTAGTGGAGTGCATGGCCTCTGATATGTGCTCAATAAATATTTGTTGAGGACATACTGACAAATCTGATAAAAATTCTGCATGCCCTGCTAGGGCCTACAGAAAACTTAGACCAAACTGCCAGCTGGCCCAATACCTCACTCTACCCGTGTATAAAGTAGAGATTTTTCTGGGGGATAATGTTGGATAACAGATAAGGCTTAGACAAAATCCTACCAAGACAAATGTGCATAAATACATTACATAAAAAAGGAAAGATGGGATTAAAAAATTAAACACATCAGCTGAAATTCCAGATGGACTTGAAATACCTATTTCAGGATGTGGTATTTAATTCTTCCATAGGTAATATAAGCATTTTCTTCTCTTTTTCCTTCCCAGGGTCTGAGACGGCAATTCTTGTGCACAATGAAGTTAAATCAGAACAGGTAAAAAGTTGGAGAAGGATGTGAACTCTATAACCTACATTTTTAAAATTCACAGTAGAGGTTTGCAGAGATGGATCAAGGAGTGCAGGATCAGGGAGTTGCAAAATGCATTGCAACTATTATGAAATAGCTAAGAAATCTGTAGACTTGTAGTCTTGGCAGAAAAAACATTGATATTTTTACTTCTGTATGTGCAGGTGTTTTGAAAAGGAAACGGGGAAAAAAGTACAAAAAAGTGCATGTGCAAAATCATTATGTGCTCCTTTTCTGTGGCCCAGGATCAATGACATCCTGCCCAATCAACACCTGCCACCAGTTTTCCTCTCATTTTCCGATGGTAACCTTCATTTATTTTTATTATTACAAAAGTGAACTCAAGCTGCTTTAAGTAAAAACTTCAGGCAGCAAGGAAGTCTCTAAAGGAAAAGTAAAGGTCCCCATCCCCCCTTTCTTCTTCCCCATATATCTCCTCAAAGACATCCAGTCTTTTGTCTTGTCCTTGCTGCTGTCCCACTGGCTCTGTGATTTGTGTGTTGGAGGCAGGACAGGATGAGCAGGAAATAGAACATGGCCTGGGCAATGGGTGATGGTGTAGCCTTTACAAGAACCGTGATTCTGATGCCTAGATGCCTGCCTGCAGAGTAGCACTTCTCAAGCTCTTTGGTGTCAGGGCGACTTTATACTCTTATAAATTAAAACTGAGCCATTAAAAAATTTTATTAATTCATTAAAAAATATCAATAGCAAATCCATTACATGTTAACATGAATAACACACGTCATATGAAAAATAACTATATTTTCCCAAATAGAAAAAATAGTGAGAAGAGTGGCATTGTTTTACATTTTTGCAAATCTCATTAAAAGTCTGGCTTAACAGGAGGCAGAGGGAGTGTGTATCTGCGTCACACAGTCTGTATGCATCTGGGTGATGACGTCATCACACCTTACATAGCCTCTGGGAAACTCCACTGTACATCTCCAGAGAGAATGCAAGTGAAAATGGCAAATAATGTCTCATGAAAATTGTTTCAATCTCGTGGGCCACCCCCAACTACTCTTTGAGAACCACTGCTGTAGAAAATTTAAAATTGAGCTCCATTTTTTCTTTAATCCTGTTTGCTCTAGAAGCCTAAGTCGGCCATGAAAGGAAATGTACAGGGCTAGGAAAAGTTCAAAAGATTTAGGCAGTAGCCAGGAAGGAGATTTGATCATGGAAAACACAGCTCACAACACAGTTTTTAAAAATCTTTTCTTAAATTTTTTTGTATTGTGATAAAATACATATAACAAAACATTTGTCATTTCAACCATTTTTATGTGTACAATTCAGTGACATTAATTACATTAATCATGTTGTGCTACCATCACCTCTATCCATTTCCAAAAGATTTTTATCACCCCAAACCGAAACTCAGCGCGCCTTCAGCAATAACTACTTATTCCCACCTCCCCCTAGCTCCTGGTAACCACAGATAAACTTCTGTCTTTATGCAGTTGCCTGTTCTATTTCACGTAAGTGGCATCATGCAGCAGCACGAGCACTTGCCGTTGAGCTAATTCCGACTCCTAGGGACCCTATGTGTGGCAGAGTAGAACTGTGCTCCATGAGGTTTTCAATGGCTGATTTTTCTGAAGTAGATTGTCAGGCTTTCTTCTGAGGCACCTCTGGGTGAACTTGAACCTCCAGCTTTTGGTTAGCAGCCAAGTGTGTTAACTGTTTCATATAAGTGGCATTATACAGTATTTGTCCTTTTATGTTTGACGTATTTCACCCAGCATAACATTTTCAAGGTTCATCCAACTTGTAATATATATCAGAACTTCATTTCTCTTTATTGCGGAATAACATTCCATTTTATGTGTGCAGCATATTTTGTTTATCCACTCATTTGTTGATGGATACTTGGAACACAGTTATTTTTTATCTTCAGAGCCCTGAGCCCCACAGTCCCATATGCCTGATGTCTAAGACTTAGGGAATTTCGGGGTGTGGGTAAAATTGTTCAGATTTTCAGAGATGTTTTAGAAATTTCAATTTTGTAAGGCTGGTTTGTTTTGATTTTGAGGCACACTGGGCAAATAGTGATGAAATGTTTGCCGCTGCTAGTGATTGGAAGGTATTATTGGGACGGGAAACTCCTGTGACGCTGACATTCAGAAATGAATGAGCTGATTGCCTTCCCTGTGTCTCACCAGATGAAAACGTCCAACAGCTCTGACCTGCTGATAATCATTGCTCCCTGCGTGGGATTTGTGGTGTTCCTGTTGCTCTTGGGGTTTCTCCTGCGAGGTAAGGAGGGCAGGACCAGGTGGGATGGGGCCCTTCAGAGCCATGGGGACACCAGGCAGATCTGGAAGTGGGTTTTTTCTGCTTGCTGTCCCTTTCTCCCCTCCCTAGAGTGTCAAATTTCTATCACTGTCCCTATCCTACTCAACAATGTAACAGTTAAACTCGTTTTCCATGAGATACAAATGGCTTATGGAAGAGTAGCTTCATTTATTGGATATTTACTCTGTGCCACGTGAGGGGCAGTGGTAGAATTCTCACCTTGCATGTGGGAAACCCGGGTTTGATTCTCAGCCAGTGTATCTCATGCACAGCCACCACCCGTTTGTCAGTGGAGGCTTGTGTGTTGCTGTGATGCTGAACAGGTTTCAGCAGAGCTTCCAGATCAAGGTGGACTAGGAAGAAAAACCTAGTGATCTACTTCCAAAAATCAACCAATAAAAACCCTATGGATCACAACAATCAGATCTGCAACCAACCAATCATAGGGATGGTGCAGGACCAGGCAGCGTTTCTTCTCCTTGTGCATTGGGTCGCCATGCATTGGGGGCTGACTCAGTGGTAGCTAACAGCAACTCTGTGCCATCCTGATGCTACGCTCTTGATGTGCCTGATTCATTTCATGCTTACTACTGTCTTATGTGGAAAGTACCATTACTATCACTCTCTTAGGGCTGAGGAAATCCTGGCTCAGCCTCTTCATTTAGCCAGGATGGACCTGAGGAAGAAAAGCTTGAATGATCCTGATCTTCTTTGTCCCCATAAAGTAGGTTTTCTCAATATAGGGTTCACCGGTCGACTTCAGGGGAAAAGTGAATTCTTTGAAATCATGTGCAGAAGTGCTTGCATGTTCATATCTGTGTTTATCAAGGGACGGGGTCCATAGTTTTATTAGATTCTCATACTGGTCCATGACTTAGTACCTCCCTCCCCAAATTTAAGAAACCTTGCAAAAATAAGCCTTGAAACAGGGTTTACAATTTCCATGCCAAGTATAGGTGCATGGCATCTGGTTCTATTGTAAAATGGAGAAACATTGTTTTATGGTCATGAACAGAAGTTGTTTCAAGGCATTGCCTGTTACCGTGGAGTTGATGTGGACTCATAGCAACCCCATGTGTGTCAGAGTAGAACTGTGCAACTCAAGGTTTTCAATGGCTGATTTTTGAGAAGTAGATCATCAGGCCTTTCTTCTGAGGTGCTTCTGGGTGGAGTTGAACCTCTAACTTTTTGGTTAGCAACCAAGCATATTAACTGTTTGCACCATCCAGGCACTCCTCGAGGTACTAAGTGAGAAAGTAACACTAGTAACCATCTCAGCTGGTTTGAGCAATGGTAGTGAAACTTGTATATGATAACACCTATCCCAGGTGAATACTGAAAGGGAAATTTGCAACTTACTGGAAGCCTACTATTAGTCCTCATACAAAGGCACAGGTTACAGTTTGGGAAAATTCAAAGTATGTCTCACAAAGAAATGTTTTAAACCCCAAGTGGGTACTTGAATTCTGGGTGAGCAAATGACTCAATAACAAATTGGCTTAACACCGTTGCCCACAAAGTCAGAACAACTTTGTAATTAATGGGCACTGCTTGGGGACCTGTTGCTGTTAGTGGCTATTGAGTTGATTCTCACTTGTGGTGACCCCATGTGTGTAGAGTAGAACTGCTCCATAGCAGGTCGCCAGGCCTGTTTTCCAAGGTGCCTCTGGGTGGATTTGAACCTTTTGGCTAGTAGTTGAGTGCTTAACCATTTAAGCCACCCAAGGATTCCCTTGGGGGGCCTAAGAAGAAATCATTTGCCAGAAGCATCCTTCGGCCTGAGAGAAGGAGGGCTTTTCCTGTGAAAGCCAGTCCCTAACTTCTCATCTTTGGGCCAGCATTGCTCTTTGCAAGGCAGCTTCTGGCTTCTCCGGGCATTTACATGTCCTAGCCCAGCTACTCTGCTCACACTGCTGCCTTGTCTTTTCAGTGAGAGTCATGAAAACCAACTGTTTGCAGAAACACACAAGGTAATTCATTTTGCATGATTGATTGTTGTAATGATTGTACAGGTTGTTACAAATGATTACATACTACTCAGCAATTTAATGACTTGTGCTCATGTTCTGATTAAACACGAGGTCCGAGACATGTGGCATTAGAGGTGAAAAAGATGTGGAGATTTAACTCACATTAACCTATCTCTCTCTTAATACTGCGTCACATCTGTTCAGAATGCAAATACAAAGGCATGTTGCATTAATAGAAGTATAGCATGCAAAAAAAAGAAGGTGATACGTCACTCTATTCTGTGCTTCAAATTGTTCGATTCTGGGTGACTCACTTTAAAAGAACATTGTTAAATTGAGTTCATTGAGAGGAGAGTTGGCAGTATGGAGAATAACGCAACTTGTAGAGTATCATTCCTGTGATTCAGTTCCTCTGCCCAATCAGACCTTTGGAGTAGGGTTTTTTGTTTTGGTTTGTTTTTTAAATAGTGTTTGAGGAATCTCTGGAAAGAGATTTGGATATCTGCCTTATTCTATAGATATTTGGAAAAGGAATGATTTTGTGCAAACTGTTGATGAAGGCTCTCCCTTCACTCAATAATTGTAACAATACCACTGTATTTATTAACAAATATTAACAAGTAGGGAAACTGAGGCCCAGTGAGGTGACTTTCTGAGGCCATGCTTGAAAATCTTTCTGGTAAATAAACATATTTAGGTAATTGTTTTATATTCTGCTACTTTACAAACTTTTCAATTCTCTTACTATAATAGATTAACAAAAGCCCTTTACCTCCCATGGCCTCATTTTTCCCATCTGTAAAATGTGGGGCTTGGACTGGATAGACTACAATCCCTTTTAGCACTAACAGCCTTTGGTTGGTTTCTTTGTAATTCAGCAGCATCCCTTTTTTTTTTTTTCCCTGGTGTTGGTGTTTCCCATTAATATCAGTATCTCTTTTTTCTTTAAGGCTGAACAACGCTGGAGAAAATAAAAATGTCCTTAATGACATACATCTTGAAACAGAAGATGAAGATGGCATGTTCACACTCTAACACGCTACTATTTCTTAGGATTGAGGATGAGGGGGGATGATGTATGAAATGTCACAATAAGTCTTAGGATTTTTCTTTTAAGCCACACCTATCCCAATGATTTCATTGATTGTGTCATGCTTAGTTTCACAAGTGAAAGGTACTTTAAAGACCACACCTTCTTCTCCCCTGTATTTTAATCTCTTTTGTGGTGTCACTGCTACGTGACCTTCCACGTTATACTTGAATACATTCAGTGATGGTGAACTTACTACCACACCCAAGGGAGTCCATTCAATCTCAGGGCAGTTCTGAGATTTAGCAATACTTAAAACAAAATCTGTCTCTAGATACTGTCTACTGGTCCTAGCTGAACCCATTATGCTTACACAGAACATGTCTAATCTCTCTTCTACCTGGTAGCTTTTCAGATATTGGAAGGAAAACCTCAGATTTCTCCAAATTCCTTGCTTCTGGAACACAATTTCTGGTCCCTTCACTACCCTGGAGCCCTGGTTGCACAGTGGTTAAAAGCTGGGCTGCTAACCAAAAGGTCAGCAGTTTGAATCCACCAGCCGCTCCTTGGAAACCCTGTGGGGCAGTTCTACTCCGACCTATAGGGTCGCTATGAGTTGGAATCGACCCGATGGCAACGGGTTTGGTTTTGGTTTTTCACTACCCTAGGTGCCTTTGGAAACCCTGGTGGCATAGTGGTTAGGAGCTATGGCTACTAACCAAAAGGTTGGCAGTTCAAATCTACCAGGTGCTACCTGGAAACTCTATATGGGGCAGTTCTATTCTGTCCTATAGGGTCGCTATGTGTCAGAATCTACTTGACGGCAACTGGTAGTTGCCTTTGTATTGAATGGTTTGTGTCTCTTCTTGCACACCCAGTTTTCAGAATTCAAGCCCTACTCTGAGTGTGGTATGAGGAGCCCAGAGTCTATGCTTCATTCATGGTACAGAAAGTAATGTGGAGTCACAGCATAATTTTTTTTAAATTGTACTTTACATGAAGGTTTACAGAATAGTTTCTTATTATAGTACACATATTGTTTTATGACAATGGTTAACAACCCCACGACATGTCAACACTGTTCCTTCTCAACCTTGAGTTCCCTATTACCAGCTTTCCTGTCCCTTCCTGCCTTCTGCTCCTTGTCCCTGGACTGTTAGTCTCATTTTGTTTTATGCTTCACAGCATAATTTTGACTCACACGTAAAACTCATAAGGGTTCTTTTTTTTTTTTTTTTAATCTTTTTCTGTTCACACTTGAGTATCTTTAGAGGGACCATACTGTCAAATCTTAGCTCTTCATTTTTTTAAAATATATTTTTTATTGTGGTACATATATATGAAACAAAACAGTTGACAATTTCAACAATCTTCACATGTGAAGTTCTGGGACATTAATTATGTTCACCATGTTTTTCAACCATTACCCTTATACATTCCCAATTTATACCATCACCCTTCACAGAAGCTCAGTACTCACTAAGCACTGAGTCCTCTTTTTCAAATCTTAATTCTTACTTAGAGAATTAAAAAAAAAAAATTATTTGCTTTGAAAAAAATTATTTTGTTGTGTTGTTGTGGAAATATACACAGCACAACATACACCACCTCAACCATTTTTACGTGTACAATTCATTAACATTGGTTACGTTCTTCAAGTTGAGCAACCATTCTCACCCCCCTTTTCTGAGTTGTTCCACCCCCATTAACATAAACTCACTGCCCCCCACGCTTCCTATCTCATCTTTTGAGTTGCTATTGTCAATTGGATCTTAGGGAATTTAATTTTTGAAAACAGGAGCCCTTTGGAGCACAATGTGGTGAATGATACAGATGTTCAACCAGGGCAATGCCTGGGTGTGAGAGTAAGGCAATCCAAATACGTTTCCCTGAATGCTACTCATGGAAATTTGCTCCTCCATAGAACAAGTTTATTCAAAAACAATAACAGCAATACCTACTAACATGAGGGGCCCTGAGAGAGTAATTAAAGCAAACAGTTGTTAAATGAATGAACGAATGAATGAATTAATATAAAGAATGTGTGCCTGAGTGAGAGAGGCCTCCGGCTGGGCAGATATGTGGAAAGTGAACCAGATCTGAAAGAAATCTCCCTGAAATACTCTCCAGCATGTTTAGGGCAATAGCAGCATTTAATAAAATAAGCATAGAGCTTTCCAAGGTAATCCTCTTTTGGAGTTCTACTCTTTCGATGTTACTTTTTTAAAAAAATCAAGTCTCATTACTGGTGCAAGAGGTAGATTGCTCACACTGTTAGTCCACAGGGATCCAGCAGTTAATAAAAATCCCCCTCTCACCTGGGCACTTGGAAGATCACTGGCCCAGAGAAGCCTGCCTTCTGGAACATTCTGTCAGTGCTAAGTGGAGTGGTTGGTTTGCCCTAAGTGATGGAAACAACTAGCAACATGTGGATAGTTACCTTTTTTGGCTTGATTTGCTCCCCTTATGCTAGCATAGGATACTGGAAATGACATTGACTAGTACGCCACGCTCAAACATTTCTTTAGAAACTGAGGGGTGGAAAGGGTCTAGGGACAGATTCGGGGCCTCCGGTTCCTCATCTGCAAAATGAAATGGGACTAGATGACCTTGTATATATTGTCAGGTTCTAAGATTTTGTAAGTCAGTGATACACCCTGTATGTATGAGTTTTGTAGGGTGGCTGTACAAAGTACCACAAAACTTAAAGCAACAGAAATTTATTCTCTTGCAGTTCTGGAGGCTAGAAGTTTGAATTTAGGGTGTGGGCAGAGCCATGCTCTCTCTGAAGCCTCTACAGAAAGAGACTTCCTTCTCTTCTCTTTATAAGGACACCAGTTATATTGGATTAGGATCTACCTTACTCCAGTATGACCTCCTCTTAAATTAACTAATTACAACTGCAAAGACACTATTCCTAAATAAAGTCACGTTCACAAATACTCGGAGTGAGGACTTTAACATATCTTTTTGTGGGATACAAATCAACTGCATCCTAACTCAGCTTGGAGCCCTGGTAGCGCAGTGGTTAAAAGCTTAGGCTGCTAACCAAAAGGTTCGGCAGCTTTAACCCACAAGCCACTCCTTGGAAACCCTATGGGGCAGTTCTACTCTGTCCTACAGGGTAGCTATGAGTTGGAATCAACTCGACCGCAACCGGTTTGATTTGGTTAACTTAGCTTATGCTCCTGTCTATCTTCCAAAACAACCACCATCATCAGTGCTGCTACCAACTTGAGTATAACCAGAAAAAGAAAGCAAATACCTCCTAAACCGAACATTTAGCTCAATGAATAGCCTTCCGTTTTGCAAGGAACCATCTTCAAACATTTCCCAAGGATGTTTCTGAAACTTCTTGATCACACTAAGAAACATTTAAATGAGCAATCACAGCATTTTACGCTGGTAAGCCATGAGTCAGAATCAACTTGACAGCAACCAATAATGGCTTCCAGGAGCCGCTAGCCTAGTAGTTCTCAGCCTTAGGTCAACATTGCAATCAACTGGGAAGTTTTTTAAGAGATTCTTTTGTAATTGGCTGGAGGTGGGGCCTGGGCATCTTAATTTTAAAAAAACTTCCAAAGTTGTTCTAATGTGCAGCCAGGGCTGAGAATCACTGCTCTAGCTCAGCGGTTCTCAAAGTGTAGTCCCCAGAGCAGCAGATCAGCATCACCTGGAACTTTGTTAGAAATGTAAATTCTTATCTCCATCCCATACCTACTGAATCACAAACTCTGAAGGTGGAGCCCAGCGAGCTTTGGTTTAACGAGCCCTCCATGTGATTCTGATACACATTAGAGTTTGAGAACTATGGTAGCATAATGATCCCTAACAGGCAGATTGAGATTTCAAGACAAGATTCTCCCTTTCCCAGCACTCCGTGGTGGTGGAGTTGGCCAGACAGAGGGGCAGGAGTTTCCAGCAGTAGCAGTGGCAGGCAAAGGTCCAAGTGAAGTTCAGTGTCAGAGATCTCGTTTAATCTAGTATCCTTTTCTGTTTGGACTCTTGTAGCAGCTTCCTACCTATAATCATCAACTTCACTCCTTCTCCAATCTGTGCTCCGTGCTGCAGCAGAGAGATCTTTTCTAAACACAGATCTGAGATTGTCTCCGGTCTTCCAGCCCTTTTCACCCATGACATTCTAGACCTACATAGAAGAAGGACACGTAGTCTCTGCCTGAGGCAGGGGTGGCAAAGTCCAATGACTTCAGAACCCAGGAAGGTGATAGAGGAGGGAGGCAACAGAAAGCAATGTGGCCCGTTACAAACTGAAGTGTGTGTGTCCACTTAAATGTATTGAAATTCTAAGGTAGTTACAATAATGTCCTGGGCAAGCAGCGCAAGACTGTAGGGTAGTACATGGCACTCGGTTTGAGACTCACAGATCTGGGTGGGATATGGGGTGGGACGGGGATTTTACAAAATGATGAATTATAAATATGTAATTCTTATCTGGAACCTCCTTGATCAGAGGAGGCTGTTAATGTAGTTGTTCCTGGCTTTCCATTTTTTCGGCAATCGGAATGAATTGGTACCCATCTACAAACAGCTTACCAGTATCTACCGTGTGCAGCCCAGGAGACAGAATTGCATCCCGTAAAGAGCTTAAAATCTAAATGAGACAAAACATCCATAGGAAATGCAGTAGAATGGAATCAGTGTTGTTTCTTCCATTTCTTCCAGGAAGGACTTAGATGCAGCACATGGCTCTTACACGTGATGTCTTATGGTGGGCCTGCAATCAAACTTTAAGGGTTTAGAGCAACCTAATTCTGCAACCTTGACCTTGGCTTTTCTCAGCTAAATAAAATAGATAACATCCAATCCATGATGAGCACTTACTATAATATTCTGGGCACTCTAGGGTTTCAAGACAGTTACCTCATTGAATTCTCACAGCAGCCGGGGGACGCAGGTACATTATTCCTGTTTTTGGAGCTGAGAAAACAGAAGCACAGATAAGCAAAGGAACTAGCTCAAGGTCATATAGTCCAACCCCCTGTGG